GATGGCGGTTCGCGGCCGCAATTTCAATTCTTCTGGGTCATGAAGTCTACCATGCCCTTCCACCGGGGGTTGTGGTTGGCTCGCATCCATGTTGTATGAAGGGTACCCATCGACGGGCCATGAATAGATATACTCGAATGATGTTGTATTAGGCCGACGGTCGAACAGACTGAGCTTGTTTCTTGCGATGCGGTCCAAGTGGATCTAGGTCGAGAACAGAGTGAATGCCCATCGAGCGGGGTTCAGGCCTGACCTCAGTTTGAATAAAAACGGACCAGTTGCTTCAGCCCGGTTGACTGCATGCTGACCATGTCACCCCATGCCAGAATTTGTTTGAAAGTGACTTAAGGTACGGATACAATGCGGGTCAGCTCCGCGGTCGTGGATAGCCATCTGCAGCCGTGATTGGTTTATACAAGCCAGTTTGAAAGAATTCCAGCACTGATTCCTGATTCCCACAGACCGAGCTCGGTGAATGCGCATGCTAGTCCTATATTTCGCAAGATGTCATTGGTTCATACTCAATCGCCTGGGATCGTAGTATCTGAATATTCCGTAAATTCCACTTCAAAGGCTTCACAGGACTGGCGAGAAGGCAACGTCGATTTTGCTAGGTTTATGAGTCAACCGAGTATCTCTCTTTGCAATGATCTTTATTTAATGTTTATGTTCTGGTCATTGTGGTAATTGGATTGACCCAAAACAAAGACTTAGATTACCATTGTTAAGACAAGCACAATTTGAATTCGTACAAGCCACGTTCTATCATTTGGCCCATTCTATTTTATCTATGGACTCATCAAGCGGTTCCAGTGGATGGACATCGGGGACGAAAGCCAAGAAAGAGTACAGCCCACCCGAGAAAAGTGATGACTAGAGAATATGCTGACGCTGAATTATTAGAGACCAAGCCACAGAATCGATGCTCAACACTTTCATTTACGACACCACATCCCTACAAGACCGACTTATCCACCGATCATTCGCAACGCCATGCACCTCACATTATTCGAGTGCCAAAAGCAACGACGATAGCTGCAAAGAAGGAAGGAAAACAGGCTGAAAATAATATTACGCGGTCCTTGAAAGCACAGTGCTTTGACTTCTTGTTGAAGTGGGTTATGTCAGCAGATAGTGTTAATGGTTATTATGAAGGCGTTTGTAGAAAGGTGCCATTCAAGGGCAGGAGGGTATCCGATTTTAATTGGGAATTTGGAAACTTGGGCAGTACACGGCCCTCTGGTCAATGAACATGAGTAATTTTGGATTTACAAGAGTTGACCGAACCAAATATTTGCTTTTGTGAACACCCTCTGTATCGTACCGATGTTGAAAAATCACTTGTGGCTTTCCAGTCAAGAAGCCTCAAGTCTTTGGCTGTTGGATCACCTAGAGCGGCCATTGGCTTGAACACAATGCCGCTGCTGCACAAGTACACGTCTACCTGTTCTATGACTATCTGTGCACGGGTCTTTCGTTTCTAGACAGAATAGCTGCACGGCTCGAGACATCAACCTGGAAACGGAGGAGTTCTACGTCGTACCTACATTGCTTCAGCCCCGTATGCCAAGCTCCGTCACGGTGCTTCAAGTCTATCAGATGCTTCTTTCCACATGTGAATCAGTATTTGAGGAATTCGATTTCCGAATTCGATCAGAAGGCACAAGAATGGAGGGACTTGGCCACGTGAAACTAGCCGACGCTCTCCGCAAACGTGGAAGCGGGCCGCGGAGGGAAGACGGCACCCAAAGCTCGCCCGACAACGGTTGGGCTGGAATTACCGGCTTGTATCAATCCGGCCATTCGACTTCCTTATCAAGGATGTCTCACTGTTGGTATCAGCTACCGCGAACTCTTTTCTCGATAGCTTCCCCAGCTTGAGACATGAGGTCTTATAATTTTCCAGGGCATCTTTGGAGCTTCAATGGCAAGTGCTGCAGAGAGCAACACAAGTCTTTTGATAATCTTTTTCGTGAGAGCAGATGATTTTCAATTGGGATGAGCCTGCCAAAATTATCACAAAGCGCGTGTGGTTAATGCAGGTCTCTTTGGGAGCTCAGATTCGCCAGAGCAGGGCGATGCGGTAGGTGTTGGAGTGCCGAGTGGTCGCATGCCCATGTCTCAGATTTCCCTAGAATACCCTCCGCAGTCGGCATTTCTCTACAGCTCAGCCACAGCTTCTAAAAGTTCCAAAAAAGGTGGTGTCTCCGGGACGAAAGCAACGAAACAGAGTTGCTTGCGGCAACCGTCGATAATCTCCACAGGCGTTCTAACAACTACACGTTGCAGGCACGGGGAATATGGTCGAGAGATGAGTCTGTCATTTTGTATAAGAAGGGGAGGCATTGACACCTTCCTTGGCTCTCAGCTCATCACATCACTCACAGTCTCTCGTTCCTCAAGTCGTTCGATCCACAATTCTACAACATCATGGCTGGCCTTCTCGACCTCGTGCGTACAAAGCACGTCCCCTTCATGAACCTCGAAGATGTGCTCAGGCAGCCCAGTCTCGAGGAGCGCAGGAAAAAGCTGCACGCTCGTATTGAGGAGCTTGCGCTTACCGATTTCGACCCTGGCGTCTTCGACGTCGAGCTTTTGAGCCAACAGATTGTGGCTCGAGTTGACCAGGACACCCCCGCGAACAGGCTCGCCATCGCCAAGGGCAACATCATCATTGGCACCTATGATGGCACCCAAGCCGCTCTCACACAAGCGTATAAGATGATTGAGAAAACGTAAGTCTATTCATCATGTGCCAGACATCCACGTACCACATCCACGTACCACATCCACTGACCACGGCGTTTACCACGCAGCTATGAGTCCGTCTTCGACGTCCTCCAAATCGAGCCAACGATCCCACGGTTCATTGACCTTGAGTTCAAACGTCAAATCTACCGCTACTCCTCGTACCCTTACAAGACCGAGGGTGGTCTCGCCTACCCCCCTCATCTTGACCACATTCCTCTGACCGACAAAACCCCCAACATCGCCATCTTCAACGCCGCAGGAGTAGCTCAGACTGCAGTGATGCTCAATCAAATCATCCCCGACAAGTTTGCCAATGACCCAGCCGTCAAGTTTGTCTCCGGCGTCGCCAGCAGCTTGGTCGGCGGCATGCCCCAGGCGGGTCCCACCATCGCCGACTGCGAGCGCTACAACCTCTTCTTCCGCAAGACCGGTACCGACGTCGAGCGCGGCGCCAACATCGGCCTCCTCCCTGACTGGTACTCCGACCGCCGCTTTGCCGAGCAGTCCTTCACCGGCACGAACCCTACCACGATCGAGAAGGTCCCCGAGGACCTGCTCGAGGAGTTCATCGAGACGGCGAAGCGCACCGGATACGACTACTGGGCCAAGACGCTCGCCACGCTCAACCCGGCCAACCTCTTCGTCCAAGACTGCCGCTACTTCCGCAAGGCCTGTGGCGTCAACGCCGAGGAGAACTTCACCTGGAAGGAGCCCAAGTCCGACAACAATTGGAGCTGCGCCGCCGTGACGCTCTTCCAGCTCTTCGGCGACGGCAAGCTGCACCCCGTCGCCATCGTCTGCGACTACAAGGAGAGCATGGCCACCTCCGTCACCATCTACAACCGCCGCCACAGGCCCTCCGACCCCTCCATCTTCGAGAAGACCGACTGGCCCTGGCGCTACGCAAAGACCTGTGCCCAGGTGTCGGACTGGTTCCGCCACGAGGTCGGCGTCCACTTGACCCGCGCCCACTTCATCGAGGAGGCCGTCATCGTCGCGACGCACCGCACGATCCCCATGGAGCACATCGTCTACAAGCTGCTCCAGCCTCACTGGTATAAGACCCTCTCCCTCAACGCTGGAGCTCGCGATACGCTTGTACCGCAGGTCATCAAGGACCTTGTCGGCATGAGCCCCGAGCAGTGCTTCAAGTACATGGCGTACGAGTACGAGAACTTCGACTACCAGCAGAACTACGTCCCTAACGACCTCGAGCACCGCGGCTTCCCCAACACCAAGGAAGGCCTTGACGACAAGAAGTACAACAACTACGCCTACGCGAAGAACATCCTCTCCATGTGGAACACGATCCGCAAGTACGTCAAGGGCATGCTGCTCACGCACTACGACGAGGAGACCGCGGACGAAAAGATCCGCAACGACAACTTCATCCAGGACTGGTGCAAGGAGGCGCAGACCGGCGGGCGCATCAAGAACTTCCCCGACATCCAGTCGCTCGACCAGCTCGTCGACGCCGTCACCATGAGCATCCACATCGCGGCCCCCTTCCACACCACGGTCAACTACCTACAGAACTTCTACCAGGCCTTCGTCCTCGCCAAGCCTCCCATGCTCTGCCGCCCGCCACCGCGCACCCTGGACGAGCTCCTGGACTATTCTGAGGTGGAGATGACCAAGGCGCTGCCCATCGGCCGCCAGCGCGAGTGGCTGCTCGCGGCGCAGGTGCCGTGGCTCCTCAGCTTCAAGGTCGCTGGCGAGCGCAGCCTGATCTCATTTGCGCACTCGCAGTGGAGGACGCACTGCCGCGCGGGCAGGAACAGCGCCAACATCCGGGAGGTGACCGAGGAGTTCTTCTACGACCTCAAGGACCTCGAGGTGGAGTTTTCTGTCACGAGCAGGCAGATGGACAGGGGCAGCATCCCTTACATGGTCATGGACCCTAGCAATACTGCTGTTTCGATTTTGATCTAGGCAATCTAGGCACTCTAATAATAATAATAATCGTGATTCTTTGTCATTCTCTTGGTGCTTCTCGTGTTAAACGTCCTCGCCAGTTTTGTATTAATCCGTTGGCAAATATCAATGCCGTCATGGTCGTCGCCCTCGTTCTTCCATTCTGTCGACGTCGATCTCAGTCGTTGCGTCCATTCTCATTGGCGTATCCCATTGCTGCTGCCTTCTGTCGTCGCCGTCCTTCCTCTCCGTCCTTCCTCGCCGTTCTTCCTTCCTTCCCCGCCGTTGCCCATAACCGTTTTTATCGTAGTCAACCATTCTGACGATCCTAGCATCTAACGCCTGTCAGAGTACGCGATCCCTGTGTGACGATCCTCCACCTTCCGGACACGGATGAAGAACATGATCCGGCCACCTGTGTCACTCTCCAAACGCTCCCTGAGATCATTTGCCATGATAAATCTGTCTTTCGTCGCGCTCAGACAATACTCGATGTCAAGCGTCTCGAGATTGTCAAGCTCTCCCCGGCAGGCGGCTTGGGACAGCCAATCAATGTCAACCCGAATGGGCCAGCACCATCTGGAAATGGTCAGATGCTTGAGGGTGCTAGGCAAAGTGGCCGAAAATCCATGTGATCCAAGAGTGCTGGGAAGAATGAATGTCTCTGCAAAGTCGAGGGGGGATATTTTGAGTGATTCGAGGCAGGTGAAGTCTTCAAAGGAGCTGATGCCTCCATTCCATATGTGCGTGTCTTTCCGGAAGTTCACCTCAAGGTGCAGCTCTTTCAGGGTCTGTGAATGCTTCCGCAGCGCTGCGCTGTACTCCTTTGGCGAACCCCTTTGTCGCTGCCAAGTATCACTCGCAGCCATCGGGAGGGCTGTGTAAGCGAAGGCCTGCAAGCTCTGGCAAATTGTAGCGACTGCGTCTAGCTCTGATGCTTTCATATCGCAATCATAGACGGCGAGGTTCTTGATGTGGGTGAGCTGAGACCAGCCCGCGTGCGGCCCAAAAGCTTGATAGCCTCGGCAATGGAATGTTGTAAGTTGAGGCTGGATGAGGGCGAAGTAGGGCTCCCTGTAAAGGTTGAGTGCTGAGGTCTGGAAGTCTGATGTGGGGTGAACATCCAACGCTTCAAGTCGCGTCAAGACTTTCTTTTGTGACACAGCTATTTGGAGGTCCCGAGAAAGCACATCATGACTGCCCCAATAGTCAGGAACTGAGAATTGCATATTCTCCAAGCTGGGCACCTTCGCCAGCAGAAGTCCCATCAACACGTGGTTTCGTGCAGGAATGGTATCGGCCCATCGGCTTCGTAAGCCCGACATCCATGATTGATTTCTCGCAGCGAGTTCTATGCAGTCCAGGACCCCCGGCTGAGTGTACCAGGGAAGGGGGTAGCCTGAAGGGATCGGTTGAACGGAGATAGACAGCTTGAGCATGCGAACTCGCTCAGACAAATCGGGTCGCCCGATCAGAAGCTTCAGCAGTGCAATGAACTTTGGGCAGACGGCACCTCGGGTCTCAAATCTGACGTGGACTCGTTGGAATAGGATAGGCTGTGCGATACCACAAAGAGCTTTGGAGACTCTGCATAGCGAAGCCAAGGTGTTTTGGGGAACGTCCCAGTCTTGCTTGATGTCGGGCTTGTCGAGGTCATGATCGTGGATATGCAGACAGATCTCGAGGATCAATTCCGGAGGCAGCTTTGAGAGGGTCGCCATGGTGTCGTGCGGGCGTCTTTGTGATTGTGATTGTGAGGCTTGTTTTCTTCAATTATCTCGAGATCGTTCTCAACTGCGCGCGTGGTTGGGTTGAGCGACACAGCGTGAGCGCAGTCGGCAGTTGCGTTATTGATTGTTGTTTTGTGAAAGCTGGAGAAGATAAGTGCGTGGGGAAGAATTCCAGTTTGAGGTGAAAAAAATGAAAGCTGAGGTATGGCTGCGATAGCAAAAGAGGAAAGAGCGAAAACGTTTCAGTGAGCACCTGCCTCGCGGAAAGCAAGAGTGGGATAGTGTAGAAGCAGGAAGATCTTGCCAGCCTCATTGGGTCGGAGTTCACGGGTGAACTGAAGTGTGAGCGCGTAAGATGTGAGAGCAGGATTACTCTTTGGGGGGCTGGGGGTGGAGGAAAGAAATGCGCTGCTGAGATTGAGGTGAAGGTGAGAAGGGAGCTTCTTGCTCTCAACAGAGCGACTGAGAGTTCTTTATGGGCAGTTGCCTGTAATCAAAAACAGCCAGGTGAGATTTGGGAGTTGTGACTGGAATTTAGAAGGAGGGATGGAGGGAAAGACCTTGGCTCCTACCTCAAGATTCTCATAAAGAGGACAGTATCAGCTTCAGATTTACTTGTACATACTAAGACTGGCAATGCCACTCGAAATGGCAGTGGGACTTTCTTTTCTTCTACGCCTCAATTAAGATGTAAATGGAGACTTGTATGCTGAAGAAAATAGAAAGGCTGAGAGAAGTTTATATTATTCATGAGCCTCTAGAGTCGCTCTTGCCTCTATCGATTTCATAAATCGTGAAGCCTGTCTATGCGTAGGTTGTATTTAGATGTCTAGTTGAGAGCTGATCCGCTTCATTATATCTTTGTATGAAAAAACGAAAGTTTTTCACGATGCCTTGCAGCTCCAAGATCCAACCCCAGCTTCAAGAAGAAGAATGCGTTCTATTCAACAAATCAACGTTAATCTTAATTATAGCCGTCTTAAGTAGGTAAGCAGCTCTGATGTCCCCTGAAAGTTATGCAGGAGCGCCCGGTCATACAGTCACTCTGCTGAGCGGTTTTCGAGTTCCCCAGCCGATGATGAGCAGACGTCACTGAGGATGTCACCAAAGCACTTGACTCTTTGCTTCGCTATAGTTACTAGGACTGTTAGCGTAACGTGGTGTTGCTCACAAGAGTGTGGTGCACATCTACTAAGATGTTATTACGTTTGCCCGCGGAACAGATAGCTAGAAGCATAGCCTACCTAGGATGGATGAGTCTCAAAACCAAGCAATCAGCTTAGTTGCGATGGCACTCTGCGGGTTTCGCCGCATTTCCATTGCGGGCCCTGCTGCTCAGCTGTTCGCATCGTAGCGTCATTGATTCTGCGATATCATTTGTCTTCCATCCGACGACACCTCATGCTGGTAATAGACGCAGCACGTCAAATGATTACATTAATCAACTTGGACGTCAAGTTTTGCAGGCAGGATCGTGAACCTGGTATCTCTGGCCAGTATCTTAATCAGGTTTCGGACGACAGAAATATTGAATAATTCTGTTGATCAGAGCTTCGCTTCTCGGGATTGGCCACGTTGCTTCCAAGTCAACCGGCCCTCAACCGTTGCGGTATCTCTAAATTCATTCGCAATGATGGGTTGGCACAAACTCATACGTCTTGCAACTCCGGCATCAACGTTGTCCAAAGAGTCAAAGCGTTCTCTTGGCCGGCACAGAGTTTACCCAAAGTTTGCGCGTGACCGACTTGCAATTGAACTCATCTGTGCAGCTATTGCTACCCAAGCGTGAGTTACATCAGTTAGGATGACAAGCCCCCAAAAGTTGCCTCTTCCGACCCAATGTCTCATTCATGATTGCCACCGCGGGGGGGTCTTCCGTCATCCAGGATGGCCGTGGGAACCTGCATTATGCTCCGCGACAAACCAGCCAACGGCATTGCAAGACACCAGCACGGCGCTGCGCTGCACTGCCACCCCGAAATATCCCAACAGTCGGCAGAGTTGCATCCTACATCCTACTCGGCACAGGGGATAGTATTTCCCCACAAGGGACCCTGTAGGCTAACTCCAGCCTTCCAGGTCTGCCCTTTTTTAGGGTTTCACGTGTCGTCCACCTTTTAGCAGAAACATTTGCGTCATAGGTAGCAGGAAATAGTTGTTGGGAGGGGGCGGGCTGAGGCTTGACGCTTCGCTTTGGGGGGCATTGAGTTCTTGGCGCCGAGTCGGCTGGGTTGGGGTCCGCCCGCCCGCCTCACTCTACCCAGGCGAAGCCCTTTTCAGCGACTGTTGCGCCGGAGGAACGTGAGGTCCCCTGGAGTTAGTGTCATTCAGTGGCAGGCTGTCTGTCGCCGGGCGTCTGTCAAATGCTGTCAGGGACCGAATTCATGGAATGTTGTAAGCGGCCTTCCTCAACGTCGCTCGCCCCGGCGCCAGAACATCGAGGCACGGCATTCGCCGATGAGTCCGTAGACGATGACTGATTAAGTGAAGACGACGAAAAAAAGGCGAGACACGTTGTTCGCCTCGCTGACTGGACTTCATCGGACTACGCCTTGACACCGTCATCAGTCTGTGCCACAGTTGATTGCCTGGACGCCAAGAAGTCCCCTCGAACCCTTTGTGCCTTTGCAGAAAAGGCCCAAGTCCTTAGGTTTTGGAAAAGGCGTTGGGACATGCGATGACGGAGGGCACAAGAGACCCGCCCCCGAGACGACACGAGGCGGCCTGCAAAACGAAGAAGAAAAAAGTCATCGTGTGAATTCCTCCCGAGGGTCTGTGGTCATGACGCCGGGTGTCTCTGCCTCAACCCTTGGCACACGGCCGTTCACGAAAATACATCGGCTTGAGAGAGGTCCCCTTGAACGTCCCTCGCGACGACTTCGCTTTTAATGCTCGGACTTATTGGCAGCGGAAGTCGGCCGATGATGGAGACATGAAGGCCCCATTTTCCAACGGACTTGGCCGGATTCGCCGGGAACGTGGTCCTTCACCGAGTCGCCAGCGTCTGGCCTCGAGTCGCGGACAGTGGACATTTTCGTCAGTGGTGAGCCGATGCAGGCCGCATTGAAAGGACCCATCCCCTTTGTCCTGTCAATTATTTTTGGGCCATTTTCAAACCGTCATCGGGGTGTGTCACAAATACATGCCTTATTAATGAGTCAACTGCGCGTGTCGTTCTCTTTTGGTGTTTATGGTCTTTGTACTTCCCCAGATTGTAAATGACACACGCCCACGATTTGTGGCGTTTTGCTTGTAACCAGCTACGGGTTCGGGGCATTTCAGCGACCGGCGAGTCACAACGAAGCTACCCCAAATCTTTCCTACTTTCCCAGCATCTGTGAGGCCAGTTAAGGTGATGTAGCTTCGTGGCGCGGACTGATGCGACTTCTTGGCTTTATGTTTGCCTTTCTGCTCTTCTTTCCTTGCGCCCCAGATTCTGTGCCTACACTAGAGTCGCACCCCTCCCCATCCTCCGCTTCGTTCCCGTTCCGTCCCCCGGAATGCGTCTGACCGTTGGCTGAGAGATCTCAGTTCGGTTGATCTTGCTCATCTTGCGGGGTTGGCCAACGAGGATGCGTAGATGGTTTGAGAGGGTTTGAGAGGTGGCGACGGTCAGACCTTGTGGGATAGGGATCATCCATCATTAGTGGCATAGACAGGAAGAGTCACTCAGGATCACCGGTATCGCTTCCTCTCGACAACTTGTCAAATGAGGAGAAAGACAGAGGCTTTTACCACAAGGTGCATTCGGTGTCGGTGAACTAAAGCCCAAGTCATCAGAAACAGTCAGAAATAACCCATCGCCGGCTGTCAATCCGAACAGCCCGGCCCATTCGTCACATCCCCCCCAAGAGTGCATGCAGCCTTCCCTGTCTCACCCCGGCTCCTCCACAATCCATTATCGGGGCCCTTCCATTAGCTCGGTTTCCATTTCCATTTCCCCAGCATTCGCATAATAGCTCCCCCGTCCAATGGAAGGGTGAGATGACGGGGGGAGGGGTTGCCTGCCTGCTGCAGCAGCCTGGAGGAGCCTGTTGGGTGCAGGGCTTGTCGTGCAGCGCACTTGCAGCCCGAGCGAACGTGGGGGGAGGGGGGGGAAAGCAGTCCCGGAAGTCTGCGAGAAAGCTTGTGAGACGAACTGCAGTGGGCTGTCTGTCCGGATGTCTGACTGGCTGGCGCTGCAGAGTACCTTTTATCCCCCCTTCGTCACTGCTGGCTCTCGCTCATTCTCTCTGCACTTCAGGTGCTGCATGCATGAGGCGCGGGAGAGAAGGGAATGACAGGTCGCCTTTCCCCCTTTCCCAGAGGCCGGACTCGTCGGAGCTTGAAGGAGCTACAGCAGCTGTGGGAAGCTAGCTCTGAGCTGTCTTGGGTCTTGGGGTAGGACAGGAGGCGTTGAGGTGCGACAGCACACGACACGACACGAGCTGGATAGCTGCGTTTGGCGTAGTGCCGTGCCTCAGTCTCCCCCCGCGTTTTCAGATTTCACGCTGCGAATGAAAAGGAGTTGAGCAGACTGAAGACGAGAAGGGGGGAAAGGAGGGATGGTCCATGAGCGAGTGGCCGAACGGAGTGTACCATCCCACCACTCGAGA